CGCATCTTCCGGCTGTGGCGACTTGGGGTAAATGGGCCTTGGCAGCAATTTCACGAATCCACCGCCTCGTTAGTAGAACCAACACTCGACACTCTTGTAGCGAGGGGCACCGGCCGTCACGGTGTCAGCTACTTGCACGCCACTTTCAATGCAAATGTGCTACGATTGAATGGCAGTTTAGGACATTTGATTGCGTGCTTTTAGATGCAGTGCAACTCGATCGATACGTTTCCATTCACACACAACCCAGCAAGACGGCGAAACGAGACATGGTGGCACCGCTACCGACGTCTTCCTTGCCTGGCTCCGGCGCGCTGCGTCCAAGTCGACGACGAAGAAGAAGACGAAGGTGGTGCAGGGCGATGCGTGGACCATCGGCCAGAGGTGGGCAGCAGCCGTCGCCGGCGTGTATGTGCCGAGCGGCTCGTTTGACATCGCCAGCACCACCACCAAGTGGCACGAATGGTCTCTGCAATGCCTTTCAAGCATTGGCTGTCGACGACATGGAGGACGATACGAGCTATCCAACGTGGCCAAGTTCGTCCCGCCGGCCGCGCGACAGGCGGCTTGGAGGTACATTGGACGGACGCCCTGCACACCAGACGGCATCGCCTGGTCGCTGCTACGGCGCGGGGTGGCTGTGGCGTTCCCTGTCTCGTAATGCTAGTACCCGCGCCGACAGGTTGACGTTGCGATGCGTCCAACCCAATGTGCGTAGCATTGCCATTCGAACGTGTTACTAGTATGGCGAGCTTTTGTGGCTGAGAAAGAACGAGTCGTTGGTTCGTATACCATAATACATAGTAGTGGCGTGCAGTCTTTGAAGCGAGCAAAGCGTAGCTGCATCAAGGCCGATGCCACGAGGAGCCATCGAATAAGTCACCGAGGAGCCACCGAATCCCCTTCCGTTCTGCAAGTTCAAGCTGCTGTTGAGATACTCTTTCTTCTACACAGCGCTTCAAATGCATTGAGGGAATGACCACAAAAACGCCGTCTACGAGGGTCGGTTCTCTCAAGACGACAGAATCTATATTAAGAGCTTGCATTTCGTAATGCGACGCCATGACCACACACGTCCCGAACGGCCGGGACGAGGCGCCTGCTCACCTGTATCGCCTTGTCCTGGCGCCGCCCGCCGCTGCATGCGACGCCATTGGTACGCGGCAGCCGTGTGCCAGGCCACTGCGCGCAGGACGCCCGCGCCCAAGAGTCGAAGAAGACGCCGAGAAGCGCTGCAGCAGGCTTTGCCACGACGATCGTAGCATCGCTGTGCAGCGTCAAGATACCCGCCGCGTGCCAGTCGAGAAGGACGCGCGAGCGCGAAAAGACGCAGGCATGGCACCAGGTCTCGATTCCGCACCGGACCAACAAACGCCCTGCACCATGCACACCGACGTCCTTGGCGCAATAGCACAATACAAGCGGCCCTTGCAACTGACGACGCTAATACAAATGAAGACATGGCATTTGTATTACCGTGCGAGGAGGTGGTGCGAATGAATGGACAAGTGACGAGGGCGTCCGCATGGACCCGAGACAAGTTGGAGGCTGTTGCCACACGCTTTAACGAGCCGCCTGCACGTGTCGATGAGGCCTACAGTATCTATCGACCGGCGGCTCGCAGTAATCCCAAGTCTGACGCTTGGCGCTTGCAGGTCGTCTGCTGCGTGCGCGCCCGAGCTAGCGATGGATTGACGCCCTATGATTGGACGATGAAGCAGCCGAGATAGACGACGAGAATATGCACCATAGGTGGCGTCGGCTTGGGAGCGGCGGCCTTGGTCCCTGGCATCGCCTCGCGTGGCGGAGTCACCGCCATCCATCTCATCAAGAAGACCAAGCATTTGCGCATTGAGGGTGGCCGTGGGTGACTGCTTGCTCTACAAGAATATGAAGAGCCTGGCGCGAATGGCATGGGCGTACGGCTTGCGACGTGGCAGAGGGCGATGGCGCTGCGTCTTCGAGACCGGCCTCCATGTCAATGTCGCCCATATCAGCGTCCGACGTGCTCTCGGGTTGCGCCTTGAGCAGCGATGGTCGACTGCAGCCACGCGTTGTGCTGTTCCAAATGCTGGATCCGCGCTCCCATGTTGGCGATGGCGAGCAGCGACTTACCCGACGAGATGCAGGACTCCCGCGGATCGCACTCCTGCCTCCGCCTGCCTAAATCAAGTTCCTCAACCGAGTACACACAACGAAGAAGACAATTTTATTTAGCATAGTTTTATCTATTGTAATAGACGACCCGCTTCAACAACAACGAGACGCA